ATTTTATTAAGGTTTGCAACACTAGAGTGCAAGGGCCCAAGGCCTGGAACTGGTCAGCGCCATCCAATTAGCCCTGCCCACCTCACCTGGGCTGGAGTGTGGGGTTTAATTATTAGAATTAGCTGGATATGGAGGCACTCCTTCCCCTAGAAAGACCATCAGGAAGCTAGTGAGGGGAGACAACCAGAGTGAAGCTGGAGTAAGAGACTTCAGCAGAAGCCAGCTGCGTCCCCAGCCAGGGAATGGCTGCTACAAGTGAGCAGTCTGCCGCAGAGACCAGTGAGTGTTAAGGGACTAGGCTCCCCCACAGGGAGGGTCTCGGAGACCCCCTGCAGGAAACGCAGGGAGTAGGGACTTGAAGGCAATTTGAGATCTCTCTGTTGGTAGCTTTGTTATGTTACTAAATCCAGCCCCTGGGATGGGTGTTGTTGAAGCAGAGAAGAGTTTGTTTTGGTAACTTGCTTGGGAGAGCCCTGAAAAGTGGGGAAACTGAGGCAGGGCCCCTGCAGAGCAACCTCTGCCCACAATGGGGCACTTGGGAGGCAGCCAGCCCCTTCACACAGAGCATACAGCTACGGTGACCGGAAAGCAAGTGTGAAAAACTGGGAGGGGTAATAGGCACCTATATAAGAAAAAGCCTTGAATATCAGGACTGTCCCTATAAAATTGAGACATCTGGTCACCCTACATACAGCTAAGATTTACCTGTAATGGTTCCCCACCCATCTATCCGTCCCCAACCATCTTCCCATAGGCTAATTAATAATTGAGTCCAAAACCCAAAGAAAGAACCAAATAAAACCCTGTGCCTTACAAAAAGCAAGCAAAACCAGAACCACATCTGAGTTGAAAGTGGAATGCATTCGCCAAGGTCACAGACCAGATCCTAAGCTGGTATCAACGGCCACAACTCCAGGACTTCAGTAGAACTATGCTGACTTACACCTCCTGAGGATCTGGCCCATTGACTTTGAGTGCATAACAATCTGTCAAACAGCTAGAGCACTAGCACTTATATCATCAATACACTCTAGAAATGGCCTCCATGAAGGGTGGCTCCCACTCAGGCAGAGACCAAGACAGTGGTTCTGAGCTATACGATAACTTGGTGGTGTGCCCAAACCACTCCCAAGTTTTCAGACGTTGCTATGAGGACTGGTTTCAAATCTACCCCTTGCCATATATGAAAGGATAGAAACGTGAATGGCTGGGATGATTTAGTTGGGAATTGGTCCTGCTTTGAGCAGGGGGTTGGACTAGATGACCTCCTAAGGTCCCTTCCAACCCTGATATTCTATGATTCTATGAACTTTTCCGTGTTGCTAGCTGACCCACCTGAAATCCACTACATTGCACAAGTAGAGAGGGCTGGTTAGCAGAGGGAAAGGATTGGTTTGCTAGGGGTTCCACAAGAAATGCAGCGTATGAAAATAAGGTTGAATGCACAGGGCGTCTTTTCAAAGATCTGCACATAGTTTTACTTGTCTGAACTACATCAGGATCAATGGAAGTCACACGGCTAAATACTTAAGTATCAAAATGTACTTCACAGAATTTTTCCTATTTACTTTGATCTTTCTGACAAACAGAGAAGAACGCCTACCCCGAGGCTTAAAGCCAGCTTATATTGCATATGTAAAATATCACACTGTTCTTGGCTGTTAATAAATTACTGAGCGTCTTCAGAGATTCCACGCTTGTTAATAAATGACATAAGATTGTAAATGAGTAAGAAATCTGCAGACAGTCTCTGTTTGTGACTTCTCCTGTTCTCTAGCATTGGGGAGGGGGTGGGGGGGAGAGCAGTGAATCAATAGCATAAATGTAACATTGTTTGTTTATGTCACCAAACAAGCCAATGGAAGATGCAAAGGAAAATATTTTCCCAGTTACTCACATAACAAAGTTTGAATTTAAGGGCCTTGGGTTCAGAACAGAGACCCCAATCCAGCAATGCACTTAAATACATACTTAAGTGTAAGCACTGGTTGATATCCTATTGACCTCAGAGTGACGTGAACTGCGCTGGGGTAGCCCAGGGAAGAACTGGGACAGAGAGACTCGTTGTCCTGCTCCTGGTCTCCTCTTGCTCCAGTAGGGACGTCTAGCATATTCATCTCTCTGCCCAAGCTGCCCCTCAGACAGGGCTAATGCAACTCTGCTAGGGAGCACAGGGCTTTATTAACTGATGCAGCCATGTTCCTAGAGCCATAAGGGACGTCTGGAACTGACTCATCTCATCAGCAGTTTGTCTGAAGGCTCAGCCCGAGAAGTAACCTGCCTTGCCCGTTCCAAGTGAAGCCCTCCCAGTCTGGGCCATCAGCTGGCTTCCACCTGCAATCAGCATCGGATATTAAACTCAGCTGGAATACCTACTCGCTCCGTCTCTGCAGACGTAGTTAAGTTAATACAGCAAATACTACCTGACTTTTCTATTTTTGTGTGTGATCTTTTGCATTGTACTGTATTCTGAATGGCATCAATCTAAGCCCCTTGGTGGAGGGTCTTTTATAAACTCCTCATTATTATTATTTATTATGGCAGAGAAGGACAAGAGAGGATATTGTCATCTTTTAAGTAATGGAGATGCTCCGATATTATGGTAGTGAGACCCATATGTGAGAGAGAGATCCCTGTCCATAGACAAAAAGATAGATGGGTGTATATGGAGAGAGATGAATAGGGGGATGGATTAATGCACAGATAGATTAGATAGAGAGGCATATATGGGGATGGATAGATAGATCTGATGAATACGGTATATATGAGCAGGGGCAGCTCTAGCTTTTTTGCCACCCCACGCACGGCAGGCAGGCTGCCTTCGGTGGCATGCCTGAGGGAGGTCCACCGGTCCTGCGGCTTCGGCGTACCCACAGCCGAATTGCTGCCGAATCCGCAGGACCGGCGGACCTCCCGCAGGCATGCCGCCGAAAGCAGCCTGACTGCCGCCCTCGCAGGGACCGGCAGGGCGCCCCCCCACAGTTTGCCGCCTCAGAAGCGCACTTGGAGCGCTGGTGCCTGAAGCTGCCGCTGTATATGTGGATGGATGGAGAGCAGGGCTGCTCCAGGCACCCAAGCACATGCTTGGGGCGGCACCTGATAAGGGGCGGT